TTTCCCTGCACTCAGCCCCACACTGAGTGCAGGTTCAGCGGGAAAATGGTTGTTTTCAGCCATGTTCCCCTCACTGACCCTCCAGTTCATAGCTTTGGCCTGAATGACTACATTTCAGGCCAATATTGCTTGAACTTGGTGCACGGCCGCGACCACGTTCGCGGCCGTGACTGTTCCTTTCTCTTCCCTCCGTACTCTTCTCTTTTCTCCCCTTCCCTCCCTTGAAAATAGGGATGGCAGTTGTCAGATTGGAAGAGGTAGGGAAATAACTCGTAAAAATTCACGAGTTCAAATCCCGACAGGCTCAGAGGGGGGTGCAAAAAGTACCCGGACTTTGATGATTTTTAGAAAAACATTCGCCAAATAAAAAAATCCGAAAAAATGCACGCGCATGGCCTAGGTGCCTGGCTACCTACAAAAAAAAATTGTTTACGCCACCAAAAATATAGTGGCGCAAACCAAAAATTTACAGATGTTCATAACAACTTTTCCCGTTTTCTCTTTTTTTTTTTTTTTTTTTTTTTTTTTTTTTTTTTTTTTTTTTTTTTTTTTTTTTTCTCCCCCCCACCCCCCCTGACAATGGGGAGGCAGCTGGCAGGTCGGGAGGAGTAGGTCCTCCTCTCTCTCATCCTTCCATTTCTTTCTTTCTCCCTCTCCACTCAACTCTCACAGTTTCTCCGCGTGTGCACTGTGGGCCGCGAGATCTCAAGGCCACAGTCATCTGTCCAAAACGAAGTGGGAGCCTTTGTGCTCCCACACAGTCTGAAAAGACTGTCGTTGTTGTTTTTTTTTTTTTTTTTTTTTTTTAATGTCGTTGGCTTATGCCAGTGGTCACGTCGTGGGTTCACCACGACTGTTGAAATACAGGCCGGAGTTCAAATCCCCACGGGGATTGGACATTTTCTCGATTTATGTGTGTCATCCTTGCGCAAGGGCCATGTTAATCTGTACGCGCGGCTGATTTCAGTCGTGCGATCTTGAAGATCACGCGGCCGAAATCGGTCGTGCCCTTCAGCCTGGGCAGCTCCAAAAAGGAGCTAGCCCAGTGGAGTACAGCCGGTTTCGATCCCGGTATCAATCGGGTGAAAGTTCGATGCTGTGACGAGTGCGAGGCTGAGGGAGAGCCGAGGGAGAGGAGAGAGAGAGGGAGAGAGAGAGAGCACACACACACTCACTCACTCACTCAGCACGACCGAGGGTCAGACGTAGACACAGTGGCAAGGCACAAAGTCGAAGTCGTGGATTTCGAATGTCGAAACAGCAAGTCACCTGAGAACGAGTACAGCAGCAGAAAATTGATACGAGACTGGTCCCCGTACTGTACGGGGAGCCGGTATAAGTACCAGTGACACGTACGGTACCAGGGGCATTTTCGCAAAAGCCCCGAGGGCAGAACTGAAAAACGCGGTATTTGAAAGTGGCGCCCGAATTGCAGCATGGCGCCAGTTGTCCAAAATCCGACGGTACCAAAGGAGGGGTTTGGAAAAAAAAGGGCGCTAGGCCGAAAACGGGATGCAGCAGAAACAACAAAAAGATAGACCAGGGATCGAGCCCTGGCGGAGTCTGTAACACTATCCCCTCTCTCTAAAAGGCAACGACCCGGCTGCCAAAAAGCCAAGGAAACAAAAGAGTTGTGAAGGACGGGCCGGGGCCGATCACTGGTCGGAGAAGGAGAAGGGGAGTGATGTAAGTCACAGGGCATTCTGTCTGGTGTTCTGCATAGGTGAAGGTATGATGTGACTGGGTGAGGGGAAGCTAAGCAATGTTTAGGGAACAGGGGATTTCTATTGATGTTCTATTGGGTAGGGGAAACGATGTTCAGGAAAATAGGGAATTTCTATTGATGTTCTAGTGGGTAAGGGAAACAATGGTCACGGGAACAGGGAGTTTCTATTGATGTTCTAGTGGGTAAAGGGAACAATGGTCAGGGAAACAGGGGTCTGCTAATGATGTTCTACAAGGTTGTCAAAGTCGGGAAAAAAATGAAAATGAAAATGTTTGTTCAGGAGGCAAGGGCTGGTGTGTCTGAACGAGTGGGAAGCAGAATCTCATGTTGGAACAAAGTGTCCAAGTGTTTTGAAAGGGGATCTGCAGCGGACTTGATTAGGTCTTGGAGTAGGTGGTAGAAGCGGTCTTCAGCGGATGCGACAGGTAGAAGTCCAAGAATCGTAATAGTAGTTCAAATGTCCAAAGTCCAAGTGCTAGGGTGCGTTACACGAACTGCAATGAGGTCTGATCTGGAAGCAAGGAAGTCGCAGACTGATGCAAAGATCCATGTCACAAGTTGCTGCTCCAGTAAGTCCGCGAGTCGGGATGCCGACCGATGAAACAACATGGTGGCCAAACCAGCTGCATAATCTCCATGAACAATGAGGCAGCAGGCCATCGACCTCGTGCGCTTGCCATTAGATCCTTTATCACCGGCGTCACGCAGGTTCATAAGCATTGGACGAGAGAGACAAGGTAGTGGAGAGGACAGATGGGACAAGGCTAGGTGTTACATGCCAGTTGGCGATGTACATAGAAACCGAGGATCCGCAATGTGATAAAAAAGACTGAATGGACAATGCAGTGCAAGTAGAATCTCAACAAGCAATGTGCATTCTGATACATAGAAATGGTGATGAATAGCGTAGTGGAAGACTTAGATACAAGTCCTGACCTGACCAGGACTGACCTCATTCACATAGTATAAGATAGCGAAGCAGAATGCTAGAATGCTAATGACTAGCCCAATCAATGTTTGAACGCAGACCAAACATACATCGTGTCCATCACAAAGTGTGAAGGAGCCTGGCGCTTTACACAGGAAGGACGCGCCAGGTCCAGACATACACAGACGAAGAGGAGGGGATCAGACGAAGAGGAGGGGGAGAGATGGGAATGTCGTCAACACCAAGTCTTTGTCACAAGTCCCAAATAATCCCTCGTTGCAATGTCTGAAGCCAAAAAGTCGAGTCCGGATCCAATGTCACCAAGCTCTCTCTCTCTTCTCTCGTAGTCTGCTGATGCAGTGAAGTCAAATAATGAGAGGGTGAGAGGGAGATGGTGGATTGAGAAGAGGAAGAAGAAGAACTCTCTCTCTCTCTCTCTGTTACGAGCCAGGTACTAACCTTTGAAGTTGGCATTGTGCTGCAGGTACCTTGAAGACGAAGCTGGAGCAACGGCGCTGCATGTAAGTACATCTGGCCTCCGCCCGATCTCTCTCTCTCTCTAGTGCTATCCTAGCTATGGCGCCTAGCGCTGAAGACTAAGGCTAACGCTACTACTACTCCTGCAACACTCCCTCCAGAGTGTTGCTGCCGAATCCAAAAGACTACTGCCTTCTGCCTGTCCGTGAAGTGCATGGGAAGTCCCTATGTACTACCTCGGCCTGCCTCCTGATTGCCTGAAGGGCGAGCCAGACCGAGGAGGCTGCTCTTGCCACTGCCGAAGTGTGCCAGGGGCTGGCGCTGCAGCATTTGCTGAGGCTGGCGTGGGAACAGGCTAAGAATAGCCTGTTCCCGAAACCCTGGTTCGGTGCTTGAGTTTCAGGGCCGGTCGTTCTGATGAACGACCGAAAATGGCCCTTCGTTTCAGGCTAAAAAGGCTATTGCCATTTTTAGTCTGAAACGACACAGGGATTGTAGGCCCCTGTTTTCAGGCTTTCGGGCTGAACAGTCACAGGGCCAGTAGGCCCTGGTTTTCGGGCTTTTAGCCTGAAGGACGCAGGGCTTGGAAAATGGCCCTCGTGTGCAGGCGCAGCATGTAACACCCCCCCCTCCTTATGAAGTCAAGCCTGGGCGAGGGCGGAGCCGACGATTTGGAGGTGGAACCTGGACGCGGGTGCGGCGTGGAGCCGAGGAGACCGGCTTGCCTTGCATCTTGCGTTCGTAGCGTGCGACAACGTCTGGAGCTGTTGCTTGAAGTTCCGCACGGGTCAACCAACGGTCAGCTTGGTGCGTGCAGTATGCAAAATGCACCAAATACTCGGTTGGCCTGTTGCCATAGCGTCGCTGGGAGATGATGTCGCCGACCTCCTGAAAACCGTCCATAGAGGGTGGGTCTTGCGAACATCTCCCGGGAAAATCGTCATGTTCCGTTGGCGTGTAAAGAGCCAACTTGGAGTCCATAGAGGGTGGGT